GAGATGCAGGGCTTTTGGCGGGGGCTGGGGGGCTTTGGCGGGGGGGGAGCTGGTTTGGTGCCCTCAGGGCCGACCCGCGCTCTAGGCGAATGCCTAGTTCGCCTAGCGGGTGAGCCGGCCCTGCCTATGATCCACTCCAGTCAACAAAGAAAGCAACAAAAAATAGTAGTTCTCCCCCAGAATGTTGGTTCTTCACCTGCCCTAGGGTAGTAGCTCATGGCAGATGAACAGCCTATACAAGAGAGATGGAAGTAGAATTCCTATGTACTAAATCTCTTTTGCCTGGAAGAAATGTGTACCTTCCAAAGGGGAATAAATGGCATGAATGTTCACAAGCCTGGTGAGATTGTATATCAAGGCATGCTGGTGGGTGCTGCAGAAAAACTGTTGTGTGAACTTCTGCTTCCTTTGCAGCGACGACTATAAGCGCCTCTGTGATGGACAATGGCAATAAGTCTCTCGGTGCTACTTTTGAACAAACCCATGGAGGGAAACTTGGGCCATACAAAGCCGCAACATTTAATGTTCCCCATTGCACATCTCCTCCTAAACTGTCTGATATTGCGGATGTAGCCAAAGCACCTGCTGTCCTGACCCAGTATCTAATCAGAGTTGGTGACGACTCAGCTTGTCTGTATGACCCGAATCTCCAAGAAGCATGCAATCCACCCCTTTCTGAAGATACATCCTACAGGTTTTTATTGAGTTCTTTTATGCTCTCAGTGTTTTCAGTTGTTCTAATGTTTTATGTGCACTACCTAGAGGACCCTGACTGGGTGGAAAGGTGGCATAAAAATGTTTTCATTGAAGTCTTCATTTGACTGACAAGTCAGAAACACGAATGTTGCCTGCTTCCGGTATTAGTAAGGAAGGCTAATTAGATTGACTGAAGTTTCACACTTGGTCTGTGATACTGCTTTAGTCAAATGTTTGTGCTTTCCGTGACTTTCCATGACTCACTGAACATGAGTCGGCAGTGTGATGTGGTAGCTTAAAAGGCAAATGCCATTTTGGGCTGAATCAACAGAGGTATAGTGTCCAGATCACACAAAGCGGTGGTATTGCTTTACTCTGCTCTGGTTAGACCTCACCTAGAGTATTGTGTTCAGTTTTGGGCACCACCATTTAAGAAGGATACAGACAAGATGGAACGTGTCCAGAGGAGGGCAACGAAAATGGTGAGGGGTCTGGAGACCAAGTCCTGTGAGGAAAGGTTGAAGGAACTGGGTATGTTTAGCCTGGAGAGGAGACAACCGAGAAGTGATATGGTAACCATCTTCAAGTACTTGAAGGGCTGTCATCTAGAGGATGGTGCGGACTTGTTTTCTGTTGCTCCAGAAGGTCTGACCAGAACCAATGGGTTGAAATTAAATCAAAAGAATTCTTGACTAAGCATTAGGAAGAACTTCCTGACAGAGCCGTTCCTCAGTGGAACAGGCTTCCTCGGGAGGTGGTGGGCTCTCCTTCTATGGAGGTTTTTAAGCAGAAGCTAGATGGCCATTTGACAGCAATGCCGATTCTCTGAACTTAGGCAGATCACGAGAAGGGAGGGCGGGAAGGGTTGCCTCAGTGTTTAGTTCTTGTGGCTGTTTTTTTACACGCCCAGGAAATGCGGATTGCCACTTTGGGGTCAGGAAGCAATTGTTCTCCGGGCCAGTTTGGCCAAGGATCCTGGAGGATTTTTTTCTCCCATCTTTTGGACATAGAGCAGGGGGTCACTGTGGGGTTGGGGGAGGTATTTGCTAATTTCCTGCCTTGTGCAGGGGGCTGGACTAGATGACCCTGGAGGTCCCTTCCAACTCTATGATTCTATGACTTACAGAGTGATCCTAAGGACACTTTCCTGGGAGTAAGCCTTTTGAATAGACTTCAGTCAGATTCTGAGCAGATCCACTTAGGACAGCTGTCTTATAGAATAGGCCCACAGGCGAGTAAGAAAGGGCCAGGGAAATGCGGATTGCCACTTTGGGGTCAGGAAGCAATTGTTCTCCGGGCCAGTTTGGCCAAGGATCCTGGAGGATTTTTTTCTCCCATCTTTTGGACATAGAGCAGGGGGTCACTGTGGGGTTGGGGGAGGTATTTGCGAATTTCCTGCCTTGTGCAGGGGGCTGGACTAGATGACCCTGGAGGTCCCTTCCAACTCTATGATTCTATGACTTACAGAGTGATCCTAAGGACACTTTCCTGGGAGTAAGCCCTTTGAATAGACTTCAGTCCGATTCTGAGCAGATCCGCGTAGGACAGCTGTCATAGAATACTGTACTATGCTAACTTCTGGGTGTTCCTTGAATTCCTTATGGAGGCCTATCATGGGTAAGCCAAGCAGATTCCAGGCCAAGTCTTCAGAGGGAATGAATGATCTGAATATTGAAGTGAGATGCCTGCAAGACGAAGAGCCCCTCTGCTTTCAGAGGGCCACGATACGGCAATAATGTGTGGAATTGTGTGAGGGACGTTCCTCCTTCCCAGCAGGATGGCGTTGCAGCCATATCCCTGTGGCATTGATGGTAGAAACCAGGTGTTTAGCCTGGATGAAGGGTCTGGGCGCAGGGATCTCTGAAGAGCTGCAAAGAATCATGGGAAGGCACACTAGGAAGGAACTAAGCATTTCTGCCTCCGCCCACCCCGCGTCTCATATCCAGGTACCTCGCTCTTTGCTGTTGAGACACTAAAGGAATCTTCTTTCTCCTCTTGCTTCCAGGTTTAAATTTGTCTTGGTTGATAGGATCACAGACATTGTGAAAGACCAAACCCTCTGGTCTGATCCAATTAAAACCAGCAAGTGTAAGTATCTTGAAGTGGGCCCGCAGGCCACGTGCTGAAGCCCTTCAGTTGTACAGACAGGCACCTTGGTGCAATATCGTTCTTCGTTATGCCAATGAAATAGCAGTCCAGGAAGCTGACAGGATGATGGCCCTCTTCTGCCTTCTCTCCTAGTGAAGCCGTCTTCCTCCATCGATATTTGGCCAGGCCAGAGGAGCGGCGGGATGATTGCTGTCACTTTCGTCCTGAGTGTGCTGACGCTTGTCGTAGCAGCTGCATTTCTTGCTGCGCTGTGAGTTTCTGTTGTATTTTGCTGTCCTTTGCCTGTTTGGAAATGGATCAAATGAGACCTCTGGAAAACTAGAGTGCTCCAGAGGGTGGCAGTCCTAGAATTCCGAATAGGGTTACCAGTTCTGGTGAAATTTGTGGAGATGTTCAGGGTGGAGCCTTGGGAGGGCAGGGTTTCGGGAGGGGAGAGACCTCAGTGGAGTATAATGCCCAGGGCTATTTTTGGGCAGGAACGCACAGGAACGGAGTTCCGGCTGGCTCCCAAGTTGGCCACACCCAGCAGGAACTCATTAGCATAATAGGCCACACCCAACAGCAGGAACTCATTAGGATTGGCTACATTAGGGCTGTGTGGCCTAACATGCAAAGGAGTTCCTGCTACAAAAAAAAGCCCTGGGTTTGGACAACAAACAAGGTCAACAGAATAAGAAGCAAAAGGTGGGCGTGGCTGGATAACCACACTTCTGGTAACATGGGGTGCGGCCTAATATGCTAATGAGCTGTGCTGTCAGGGGTGTGGCCTAGTATGCTAATGGATTTCTGCTGTTGGGTGTGGCCTATTATGCTAATGAGTTCCTGCTGGGCTTTTTCTACAAAAAGAGCCCTGAAATGCAATAAAGTCCACCCTCCAAAGCAAGTGTTTTGTCCAGGGGAACAAAAGAGTCTTCACCTCAGGACGGCTGCCCTGAGCCTGCTTTGGCGGGGAGAGCGGGGTATAAATTGAACAAATGAATGAATAAAATTAAAAGAGCAGGACTCTTGACTGCAATAGAGTCAAGTGACAATTTATGCCCAAGGGGACTGCTTTGGGCTTAAGCTGCCAGGTGGAAATCATAACTATTTGATATATGACAACACAACATAAACACAGGAGGCGTTCTAATATCGGGCCTGCGAAAGTTTTCCTTGCGTCTGATGTTGCAGGGGGGGGGAAGGATGCCCAGTAAGAAGGTTTGGCCATCTTGCAAGACAGAAAGAGCCTCTCTGAACTGTAACGCTTGGGAAGGCGCCAGGGTGCTTTCTGGGTATCATTTACACCCGTGCCAGCAAGATTCCATCCTGTGCAGGCTCCCTCTGCATCTCTTCAAAGCACGGACGCGAATGAAAGCAGCTGTCAAATGATGTAATGTGGCCTGGCAATCAACAATCTGCCCCGGTGACAATTTGTGGTCCAGGGTAGAAGCTGGACCTCTCCTCCTACGACCTGGACCTTCTGCACAGAGCACGCGTATGCATGGTAGTTTGCATGCGGGGGCTTTGCAGGAGAGCTGGCCAATGTATGGGGGTCAGGGGGCCAGCAAGGTCCTGCCTCCCCCTCCCCCAGTCTAATTTTTTACTTAGAATTCTTCTCAGCATATTGCCAGTGTCTCTACATGAATTGTCATGCTCTTGCCCTGTTCCCAGTAGCGCTTCCCTTTTAACCCACAACTCCTGCAACAAGGCAGTCTCCACTGAGTGGTGGCAGCAGTGGAAAGTGCCATCAGGTTGCAGCTGACTTGTGGCAACCTTGTAGGGTTTCCAAGGCAAGAGACGTTCGGAGGTGGTTTGCCTTCCATTGCCTGCCTCTGCGTCACAACCCTGGCTGCACCGTTCTCATTAAGTATCACTGCCCAAGACAGTTGCAATACGTGCAGCTGGATTTTGTGTTATGGCTGCCAGCACTTCAGTGGCGTTTTGAAGGTGTGCGTGGAAAGTGCCATCAGGTTGCAGCTGACTTGTGGCAACCTTGTAGGGTTTCCAAGGCAAGAGACGTTCGGAGGTGGTTTGCCTTCCATTGCCTGCCTTTGCATCACGACCCTGGCTGCACTGTCCTCATTAAGTATCACTGCCCAAGACAGTTACAATACGTGCAGCTGGATTTTGTGTTGTAGCTGCCAGCACTTCAGTGGCGTTTTGAAGGTGTGCTCAGATGACACAGAAGGGGGCCTGGAGACCCAGCCCTGTGAGGAAAGGCTGGGGGATTTAGGAATGTTTAGTCTGGAGGAGAGGAGGTT